GTTATATTCTCAGGCACATTTTTCCATCCATTTCCTCAAAGTAAACCACTACATCTGACAGCAGAATGCACAGCGTGGTGCAGCAACTTGACACGTCACTGCAACTGGAACATTTTTCTTTTTAAGAAAACAAAAATTTGGTTTATTATGTTTTCACTTGTATCCGACTTTAAGCAGTGTTTAGCACCCAAATCGATCTATATACTGTATTTGTTCACATAAAGGGGTGAGAGTGCAGACTTTCAAAACCAAATGGCCATTCAATTTTAAATTCACCTAAATCTTCAGTCAGTCAGTATAGAGCACATCTTCATGTTAGCTGATCCACAGGCTTTAACAGTTGCTCACCACTCTTCAGAAGAATACCATGTAAGACTAGTGACTGTCTCAGATGGGGACACTTTTAGATATACGGTATAAGTCTCCTATGAACAAAGCTCACTCATCTAAATAATGATCTAATGTGGAGGTGTCATTTCCATGCCTAAAGCAAATGCTTCTTTTCACAGTAAACACATATTCTAACTAAAAACAAACTAATGGTAATTACGTATATACACTGAGCTGTTAGTTAAGTCCCACAGGGATCATACTCACCAGCCCATCAGTATTCAGACTAGATAATACAGAAAATACAAAGTAGAGGAAACAAGGCCACTGCAAATCACTGAAAAGCAAAGATGAGCTGCAGAGATGAGGAGCTGTCATCTAGAGCAGTGTTCAGTGAAGCTGCTCATTTGACATGCTGCTCTCTTACTTATGGGTATGACCCTTTAATTCTGCTGAGAGGTTGAGCAGCCAATTTGAGAGTGCCCCAGATATACAAGTGTTACAGGGAGAAGGGGCGCTATATTAACAGTGGATAACATTACTACTCTTACTGCATGTGAAAGGTACTGTTTGTAGCAACTAACCCACAGATAATTACTATTCTTTCCAGCTGTGGAAGGAAGCTGCATTCAGGCTTGACCTGCGCTATCTTCCTCTCCTTTCTTTTTCTTTCCCTCTGCAGGCACACTCATCAGGCTTGGTGCGCACCTGTGCGGAGCTACACGGCTGAGATCACTCTCCTAATCAGCCACTCTCTACTTAAGGCATCAGTAGATACTTCTCTAACGCTAGTATGTTATCTCCTACTAACGATAATCTGGCTTCCTTCTACGACAATACAATCCACAGATTGTGTACCTTCGCTTGCCATCGCCTGCCAGCGGCTACTCACCTCGCCCTTCTGGTCAGACGTCTTCCTCAAGACTCCTCAGGTCAGTCTGGTCCTCACAACCTTACTTCACTCATCCTCTCCTGGCCTCCCTGTCACCAGTGTCTGCCGTCCTTGCCTCCGTATGGTGTGGGACCTGTCACCGTAACTGCACACTCCTCATCCCCCCAACGGGCTCCTCGACTGGTCCACGGAGTTTGTTCCCACTCGTCGCATCTCCTCATTCCTCTGCTCATACTATCAGTGCTTACCTGCAGTTTTTCCAATAAACCCTCTGGTCTGAACTGTTGAACCTACTTCTGAGTCCGTCTTGCTTACTCACCTCGAATGTAACAGAACATACTGGCCATCATGGACTCCGCAGGCTCCAGTTCAGGCAATCCCACTACACCGCAGCTCACAGCTTACGGTGCCCAGATTGACCATCTCGGACAGACCCAGCACCAGCAGATGGAGATTATCCGAAGCCTCACACAGCAAGTAGCACAGCTGTCATCTGCTTTCTCCCAGCTCACCACGTCCGCTACGGTGCCTCCTTCGCTCTGCCAACACTCCCCTCCGGGGCGACACACTAGCCCCGTCAGAGAACCCTTGATACCGGATCCTGAGCCTTTCCACGGGGAGTGGATAAATGTCGGGGCTTTATGCTGCAGTGTCGACGGGTCTTAGGCCAACAGCCCCGTGCTTTCCGCACCGATCGCACGAAGTTTAACTTCGTGCTTGTTATGGTAGCACCCCTCACCAGGAGGGGGAGGGAGGACTGAGGTTGGACTCAAGTGTGCAGACCCAGGTGCTAGGGGGAAAAACATGACGGTAGCAGGTAAAGAGAGAGAACACAAAGTATCAAAAGAACATAACATGGGAAGGTACGGTACTTGGATATGTAGGATATGTAGTGTAGTGTAAATGAGCGTAGCTCGTAGGTAGTGTGGTAGAGTCAAGCCAAAACGCACAGTGTCTGTCAGCGTAGCATTCTACCAACAGTCCGCGTTACTATGTTAATGTTCCGGCAAAGACAGAGCGTCTGCCAGAGGTTTATATAAGGAGGCGAAGGTAATCATCGGGATGCACCCCAGCTGTGTGCATCGACAAACCAGTTGCTAATTACTGGAATGCAACACAGCTGAGGTGCAGAGCCCACATGATAGAGAGAGCAGAGGAGAAAAGACGGAGGAGAGCCAGTGGCCGCCGAGCGGCCCTGACACCATCCATACTACAATATCTATGCACTCTTTG